AAAAAAAAAAAAAAAAAACTCAAACGGGGGGTTTAAATGTATGTATAGAATTTGTTGGATATGTTGTACTACCTCATGAATTTGTTGTACATTCATGGTTGTAGATTTTAGAATCTTTGACCGAAATTAAGTAGCCAATGCACATCAAAATAAGTTACAATGTCCCCTCATTAACCTGCCAACCTAATTTCTTCCTTAAATATTGTCTTGTCAAATTTCTTAAAATAAGTTGGTGGAACAAAGTCACTGGTCTTGCCTGGTCATGTTTAATTTCATTATTTTGTGACATTGACAATCGATTTTTTTTGCTTTCTTTCTTTCTTTTTCTGTCAACACCATACAATTTAATCTATGGGACAAGGAAGTTTTCTTTCCATGTTAGGGGTTAGAAAGTTTTTGATAGATTAATGCGTGTTTTGATAATTTTAAAACTTCATTATTTCCAACTTCTAGTAAAAGCTTAAAAAATTTGTACAACTTTAATAACCTTTTAAAGCTATATTCTGGTAAAAAAATAATAATAATCTTTTTGACTTTAGCCAAATAGTTTTTAATCTCTAGAAAGTACTTTTAAGCTCTGAAAAAGTCCTCCCAAAGTTTTTATCACCCTCCGATGCCCAAGTCAAATAAAGGGGCGAGAGTAGCAAGGTCACGAAGTTCAAATAAACTAAAATTATAAACGATTTAATTTATAATTAGATAAAATTGAGCGACGTATAAGTGACTAATACTTATGAGCGAGTTCATTAAAACATTTGATTGAAAATGATATTTCACCAATTATAAATGACTTGTAAAATTTGTAGAATATAGACTAAAATGCCGCATAAGATTATCAAATAATCATATGTGAACCCCATTTTTTAGGGAAAATAGATTTTGTAATAATGATTTTTTGAAGAATGTGTTATTAGAAAAATAGACAAAATTTTGAATTGATGTAAAAAATTATTTTATGAAATAATGTGTAGTTAAAAATAAGTTTGAAAAATAATGATTTTTTAGATAACGAGGCTCGGGGGCTTACTCATCAGTGATATTACGTGTATAGCATATCAAGGGACGTATGGCAAAATCTCAATAGCAATTGATCGTTTTATTTTTCGCAAGTGAACGGGATCGTGAACATGTAATAGAGTAGTGAATAGAGTGTCGAACCTATGAGAACTACGTGTTTGATCGAGTTAAGGTTAATTCTAACTTTAATCGAATAACAAACAAATTTTGTGATTTTTTTTTTATACTAATTCCTAAATTATCAATTAAACTAATGAAAATAAGCAAATATGTTTTTCAAATATGTGGTATACATTGCTAAGATGTTGAATCTCCCTTATTATTCAATTTTTAGTGTGACAATTTAAAATTATTAATGTTGGTCAATATTCATAATTTAATTGAAAGCCTATCTCGATGGCGATAAAATCTATTTCCCTCATATGACCTTTCTATATTTTGATGAAAGATGCAAATATGATACATGCATTAACAAGTACTGGAACACCTATTGAAACCATATAAAGTACATAGATATATTTATATCCTCTATCGAACCTTACAATGTTTATTATAATGTGCTTCAACCCTATTATCTCTCTCGATAACAATAAAATCCATTAACAATTCAATTGGTGATCAAACAATTGAAAAGAACAATATAAATGATAATAAACATCCATAAATCAAATTAAATTACAATCAAAAGAATTAATTAAAAACTAAAAATATCATAACAAAGGTTTATCTCATCCTAACAATA